TATATATATATATATATATATATATATATATATCATCATTAAACTTTGGTTCAGTTGTACACATACAGATTCTCTAGTTTTCCAAAATGTTTGGAGTCTGTGCCACAAAGATTTTGGACATTCTACTACTCTGCTTAGTAGTTTAGCATTATTTTCTGTAGGCATCATTGTTTAATGCAGTGTTTGTGTAACATAAGCCCTGATTAAAGTGCTGGGTTCAAATGTTTACAATTTCTCTATGAAAACGATATATTAACTACAGAAAAACTTTCCTCTTGTTCAAAGTAAGCTTTTCAAGAGCATAGCAATATCAGTTAGTTGGACTCGGGTCAATGTCAGAACAGCAATAAAAAGAGCAAATTTTGTATAACCTCTAAACAGGTTAGAGCATTTTCTAATGAAACACTTCAGATATTCTTACTGTTTAATTTTGTTCTTTAAATCATTACAAGTTCAGATCATCTTAACTCCATGTAAACAAGTTACCTAGATAGCTTTAGGCTGAAATTAGGGCAAATTTTAAATATATGTTTTAATAAATGGAAGAATTACAACTTCAGCAGGATTTTAGCTACAGTTTAATGTAATTAATTTTTTGTATTATGGCAATAAATTGTCAAGTTTTTATTTCTGAAGAAGTCTAAGAATAATCCAGATGAAAGCTTAGTATTTATCAAAAGAGAATTCAGGTGATGTGCTAATTAACACGAATCCTCAGCAATGAAATATAATTACTGTTTTCAAACATATTTCACTAGAATGTCATATCTAGGCTTCATTACTGTTTGGTAAGTTGTATATTTCTTAACATTAGGGCTTTTATTATACAGTATTTCTAAACATTAAAGTCTTCCAAATAGATAACATATTCAGAGAAGGCTGTAGTGGATGCATGAATTAGCATAACTGTTTTATAAAAAATATCTTGGTGAAATCTTTGATTCCCAAGTGATGTTCTTGTCTTAAATGGAGAAAATTACTTAATTATTATTTTTGTGTGTGTTTTTTCTAATATTTTTTATTAACTATGAGAATTTGTAAGTTTGTTTTAGGGAACTGTGCATTGTAATATAGCTAGTCTCTCTCTCTCTCTTTCTACTCTTAAGTAACTTTAGAATTTAATGACAATTTTCTTAACATTTAATTTTACAATGGAAAATTTTAAATCTTCCAAAAACCAGCAATAAGGTTATCTTTTCCTTTAACCCTTTCCAGATGGGTCACTGGTCAAAGGCCATGTCATCATGTTTGTTGACTTCCATTCAAAATGTTACTGAACTAACTATTTCATGAATTTATGTCAATAAGTTTGATATCAAACTGCAGATTATAATTCAAATTTTAGTATTATACATTATTCAATTTCTTAATTTAAAAGTAAATATTAAAAAAACACAGTTAAACATTGATTTTTGTGTGTCACATGGTATGTTGAATGTAGCACTGGTTCAAATTAGATGTTTGTGATGTCAAAATACTAAATCTATAGTTTCGTATGGATTAGGAATTCAAATTACTGATATTGACATGCTAGAATATAAAATAAGAACCTCTTATCTTTTCTATTTGCTGATATATCACTCATGTAATGAATCAAACACAGTGGCCCCTCTCACCTCTTTCTTTTATATAAAATGGTCCTTTATATACATTTACTTCAATATATGACATGTGAATAACCAATTGAAAGCTCAGAATGTCTCTAGTGGTCCTTTAGATACACTTGCTTCAATATATGACATGTGAATAACCAATTGAAAGCTCAGAATGTCTCTCTAGTGGCTGTATTGGCCATTTTAAAGTGTTAGGATGCCATCACTTTCTTTTGAACCAAGATTTCAAGGAGGTAGGTTGTGTCATTAGTCTGCTATAAATTTTTTTTTTTTAGACCCAAATACAGCTTAGTTACTAAGCTTGATAAATTTTAATGGAATTCTATGGTATTGATATAGTAATTTATGTTTTCTTTTGGTTATTCAACTGTATATATAAAACCAAAAAAAATTATTTCGTTTCACATCCTCCACTTGTGAAATTTTAAAAGGCTTAGCAACCTACGACAAGCAGCAACTGAGTATAAAAGTCGTAACTATAAGAGATAATTATTTGCTTTATGTCTTTGTTTACTATTCTGTGTTTAAGAAAAATAAGTAAGAACTTATTTCTAAATAGTAATAATCTATATACATATATAATGTATATTAATTGAAATATGACTGTATTTTAGAATATACTAGTCCACTAAAACACAGCTAAGACAGATCACTTTGTAAAGACTAAAGGTCAGTTTGATATTATTGGATACAGTAACACGAGAGCACGTGTGCCGCATCATTGTAACTTCTGTATTGTTAGCCAGGCATGTCTAAAAGGTCAATATAATAAAAATAATAAATATATATAAATGGATAATGTTATGAGATTTAAGCTATTTAGTCTAAACATTTATGTTTTCGTGTTATAATTTGTTGTTGCTCTAGAACGAAAGAAGCATAATTTATATTTATTTCCTTATTGTTTATGGTGGTTATGAAATCAGTCAAATCTACTGACCCGTACAGAGATTCATTAATGAAAGTAACAGATAAAATATAAAGTTTTTTCTTAAGAAACATTTGATAACTTTCTGGATGTTATAAAGATTTAGCATGTGAAATTTGAAATTTTTCTGAAGCATAAAAGTATTTTTAATCTTAAAATGAAAATTACTTTGCATGTTGCTTATCCAACATGCAAAAAAAAAAAAAGACATCAGAAAAACATTGCTTAACAAACCCTAAAACTTATTTTAAAAAATTTTGCATATGAAAGCATTGCAATGTTTACTGATGATTTGCCAAATTTCGTTAACATATGCTTACTAATTTAAAAGTTATAACGTGAAAACTATAAGTAGCACAAAACATTATGAGTTCAGTCCCAGGGACCGAGCCCATGCTGAAAGAGTTAAAGAGTGGGCTTGTAAGAAAATACTGCCTCTTGGTTAATCATATTAGTTTGGTTTCTGGTCTTCATGTTTTCTAGGTCCTTTTAAAAAAATACTGCTGTAATTTATTCATTTTTAAGCCTATCAACATTTAGTCTGTTTTTCTCTAAAGTGGTTGAACTGACTTTTTTATTCAGGCTTTATATAATTACCTCAACACAGTTAATAGTTTCAGTGGAATGTTTTTTATTGCTTTTATAATAAGTACTCATAAACTTTTCAACTTTTGACATGATAGCACATTCCCTTATTTTTCATACTTCTTTTTTGTGTCATCTATTTGAAGGGTTGTAAACAATATTGTTGTTTTTTCTTACCTTGCATGTTATCAATGACTAAAGCAAGCCATTGTGCTTGGCAGTTCACTTATTGAATGGAAAACATTTAGATGTAGCTGTTGAGGACAAATTACTGTTTACTTGACTTTTTACTCTGTTTATAGCTTACACTTGTGTGCAATTTAATCATTTTAACATCCTCTCAGAAAGTACATAATCCTGCTTTTACTATTTCTGCTACATACGTTTAGAAAGTTTAATAACATGATTGATTAAAAGAAACAAAATACCAAGGTTATAGAGTTGTGCTCTATAAAAGCCAATGTTACATCTTACAGATTAGTATATTTTTCCAATTTTTAACTTATCTAGTATATTTTGACTGATAATGATCTATTAATTTTAAAGATTTTCTTTACTTGCATGTAACATGTGAAACCATAGAAATGTTCGGTTAAGAATTTTATTGTAGTTTCCTTTATTTTTAGCACTCGAGATTTTACTTAGAATGTAAAATTTTCTTTTGATAGAATGGTAGATGTTGGAGGTCAGAGGTCAGAACGAAGGAAATGGATTCATTGCTTTGAAAATGTGACATCTATAATTTTTTTAGTTGCCTTAAGTGAATATGACCAAATACTATTTGAATCAGATAATGAGGTAAGACACTTCTAAGATAGGTTTATTATATAAAATAAAATATCTTTCCCAGTGTTATATATTAAAAATGAAACATTTATTGCTGAATTTAGAATTATGCACAGTTTAAAGTATTATGAACAGTTTTATACAAGACGTACATTTTGATGTTATTCTGATTTAAATGTTTTGGGTCTGTTCAATCCAGACGTATCAGTTGTCTTCAAAAATATCTTGCTTGCAGTTAGTATGTATTACTCAAACTAGTCTCACACACTAGCCTTACTGGTTACCCAAGTAATACATACATTGCAAGACTCAACTTTTTAAGTCACTTACCCATTTGGGCTAATGGCTGTAATAAACCTCTAGTTCAGGGATAATCACACTAAAATATTTTGTTGATAAAATAATATGTACACACAAAAAAATCAATTATTCTTGTTTTATTTTTTAAATATTGTGAAATCCAAGGTTGTTATTGTTTCTATGGGAATCTTGAAAAGTTGCATCAAATTTCTAGTTTATAGAAAAACAATACTTAAACTTTATTACAAGATTCAATTCAGGTACTTTTAGTGGGTACTGTAATATAGACCACCATGCAATATAAAAACCCTTGAAAAATTAAAAGAATAATTATAGCTGACACATCTTTAAACAAAATGCAGTGTGTGTTTGTGTATCTATATATATAAATTATCACAATGAAAACTAAAAATGAAGTTGCTATTTTTTTATAGTTAGAAGGTAAAGCTAGAGATGAAACTATACATAAAATATGTTCACTAAGATGATTGAAGTCTTTAAAACACAAGTTATGAAAGTTGCACACTGTATTTATTTTTCAAGATTTTTCATCTACAAATAAACCTCTAAAACATTTAAAATGTTCAAAATCTAAATTTTATAAATAACTACATTACATATTTTAACTGTAAAATATGTGTACACAAAGATGCTTTAGATTGGTGTGATATCGTATCTTCAAAACAACAAAGTAACATTGACTATATTTTTTACGTTTTTGATATACTCAAACGTTTCACATATTTCACTTTTCACTGCAAAACAGTGCTATTACTCTCTCAAACTCTGCTCAAATTGTTTATTTCCAAAAGCAGAGAAGGTAGTAATTTATCAGCCAATCAACACATTAATTTCTATTTCCACAGACAGACATCAGTACACTGCTTATGCTGTTAGCCTCATCTGACTAGTGTGTAATGTCAGAAACTACTCCAAATATGTTTCTTATTTTTCTTTGGACTAGAGTAAATTTTGACCTCTGTATTTTGTGTATGTATTTTGCACAACAGTGCTGGACTGCTATCTTAGGTCACTAAGTCCTGTGAACATTGTTACTGAAATAGCTGTTAGAAAGTAAAAATGGTGACTTTTATTTTCACTCTAAATGACTATCAGTTTCAGTTCAGCAATTTTGTTTTGTTTATTGTAGAATAAAAATATAAATTGCAGTTACGCATCAAACTTTTTGAGTTTATTTAATTAATTCATGTGTGTATAATTGTTCTATAAAATACCAGTAATCAACTCAAAGGTCAAATACTTTAATTTACCATTACTGTTTGACATTAAAACTAATCAATATTAAATACTTAAAGAAAATTCAGTAATCTATCACAGATTTTAAATATTTCTGAGAAAAAAAAACTTAAATGACCCTAAAAAATTATGTTGAATAAAAAAATTAGTTAAATAACAGTATAAGAAACCTAATTACCCAAGATCTTTTGTTAGTGTTTGGGTTATCAGACTTTGTTTTTCAACATATACAATGTGTATTTTGATATTGTGAAAATTTGTGATGTATAAATCTGTTCTGGACCACCTTGGTAAAACATGTCAATTGTTACACCTAGCTATTTTATACTTTTGTTTTTTTTTGTTTTTTTTATATAATCTTGGGTATGGGATAGAATGAATTATTATGAAACCAGGAGAATACTGGTTTAGAAATAATAGAAAAGTATCAATAATTTTTAATTCAGTTAATATAGTTGAAAAATAGTGAGCACTCTCACACAGGCAGAGCTTACTGAAGTAAAATTAAGAAGTGAGGTAGCACTATGGATCATTAGATATCAATTTAAAAGATATTGAAAATAGTGAGCACTTTCATAAAGGCAGAGATTACTGAAGTAAAATTAAGAAGTGAGGTAGTAGTATAGATCATAAGGCATTAATTTAAAAGATATTGAACTTGAAATGCGATGTGTGTGTGTGTGTGTGTATATATATATGAGAATATATTGTCAGAAAAAAAGCTGATGTACAGCTGCTATCAGTGTATTAAAGATAACAGAAGATTGTTGGTTCCCTAGAATTATTTGTGTGAATGTTCTTGTTTTTAGAAAGATTATTGTATGCTTTGATTGTAACTGGAAAGTCGAACAAGATTATCAAGAATATTTGCTTTAACTGTGTAGTGGTTCATTTCACATCTTAATTACATGGATCAGCTTTTGTGTAGTTAGGTAGATTTGTAGATTGTGGATCAAAGATTGTTGGTACAAGGAGAGTTTGTGAGGATACAAGAACCACAATTTGTATAGCATGCTCAGCATTTTAAGAATTGCTTCTGTTGTTTTACTTTATTAAAGTAAAGGTTAAACTTTTGATGTAAATAGAATAGTTGTATGTACAGGTAGAATATTAACTCTTTTTGTGACTAGAATCAGGGAAAATTGAGAAATCTGACTGATTTATTGTATATTTTATCGAAGAAAGGCCCTACAAACTATACATCATTGGATTCAGTGTGAAAAAATATCCCTTATCAAAGTACATGCTTATGGTCCTTGGGAATAGAAATAGAGGGTGTACATACCAAATATGGTAAGCAAATGATTAAAATTTAAAATAACTCGTAATACTTGTCACTCTCAATTAACCTTAATAATAATAGGTGTGAATGACTTGGTTTTGAAGTCAAGTCTGACAAAGGATGTATTCCTATGGTAAACAAGGGGTTAAGATTTAAAATAACCCATAATACTTGTCTCTTTCAAACCTTACTGTAGTAAGCCTACTTAATGTTAGGCCTGATGAAATGTTACATATAACCAAGTTATCATGAACTAAAGTATTTTGAGTGTGAATGGGTTTTCTAATACATTTTGTTTAGTATATATATATATAT